TTATATCCACTTGTGGTACCAGAAATATATCCACACTTGCAACTAGTCCCACACGTATATTTATGATTATCCACACCTATATGTATACCCACATGACCTCAGAACTGCTATCCGCATCTGGGTCCATTATCCATATATGTAGAAGCATGTGTAACTTTATCACTATCCACACGTTATTTATGGGTATAAAGTCTCTCTCTACACACACACACACACACACACACACACACACACACACACACACACACACACACACACTCAGCATAGTCAATCAACCAGGCAAGATAGTCAGTCATACAATCAGCAGAGTCAGTTTGCCAGTCAGCGCTAACACACCTGAATAGTAATTAGGTGAACACAGTCAGAACACTAAGTTACCAACCCCGGTACACCTGAGGGAGTGTTCACCTGGTCCGTGTTCACCTGGGCAGGGTCTCTGGTGGTCTTAAGGTGAACTAATAACTTAAAAACCTAAAAATCACCCCTAAAAATGACGTCAAAATTACACTTAAAACTGTACCCTACTTACATTCACTTATCACCACGTAAAGAGACAAGAATTATGATGATAGAATCTATGGAAATACGTCTCTATTTTTATTACATCCAGAATTTACCTTAACTAAATTCGTTACCTGAGCACACCTGCCTCCCCCTCTCACCCCCCCCCTACCTTAATTACCTCCTACCTGGTGCTCGGTGAATATATCTTAGTAAGGTCGAGTCTGAAGTGTATTTTGTATGCTATTTTGGGAGGGATTTTATTTACGTGTTTAATCTGGAGTTATTCAGTTAGGACCATTTTTGTATTATCATCTATTAGGAAATATACCTTATGAACCCAAGACACGGTGGACGAGAAAGTGTTAACAACCTAACCTAACCTAACCTAACCTAACCTAACCTAACCTGACCCAGCTTGTCCTCACCAGTGTTACCAAGAAGAAGAAACAACATAAATCCCACTTGAATATGAACCAAAAATTATAAAAAAAAAAAAATCCACAAAAACAAAAACTAAAAATGTACCAAAAAATAAAAAAAATAAATCAAAAAATCACAAAATCTAAAAATCACAAAATCACAAAAAAGGGAAAATCCACCAACTTGGATATTTAATCAGGTAATAATATATAATGAGGCGCCGTAAGAAAGACACCTGCGGGGTTCTTTCCTATTCCGTGTTGTGAGAGTTGTATTTCATCCTGCTGACGAGATATGGATGGATGGATGGATGGATGGATGGATGGATGGATGGATGGATGGATGATGGACGGATGGATGGATGAATGAATGAATGAATGAATGAATGAATGAATGAATGGATGGATGGATGGATGGATGGATGGATGGATGGAAAGACGACAGACTAAAGGCGAAAGACACAGATTGAAGTAAACCGACAGACTAAAGGAGGATCGGATAGAGTGAAGGAAGAACGGACAGATTGAAGGACGGACAGACTGAAGGACGAACGGATAGATGGACGAACGGACAGGTAAAAGTCATCACGTCTCCCCTGCACGCGTGAGGACATAAAAATATCACCACTGCACGATCGCCATCAGCAAAATCCAGCAGATCATGTGAAATCCCTTCCCACTTCTTCCTTCCTTTCTTTTCCTCTTCTTCCTCCTCCTTCTCTTGTTCTCTTCCTCCACCACCTCTTCCTACCCACTTCTTCCTTCCTTTCTTTTCCTCTTCTTCCTCATTCTTCTCTTGTTCTCTTCCTCCTCTTCCTTCCCACTTTCTCCTTCTTTTCCCTCCTCTTCTTTTATCTGTTTCCTCCTTCATCCTTTTTTCTCTTCCTCCACCTCCTCTAACTTCCTCTTCCTCCCTTTCCTCTTTCCTACTCCTCCTTCCCCTTACTCCCCTCTCTTCTCCCTCCTCTTCTCTCTCCTCCTCTTACTCCCCTCTCTTCTCCCTCCTCCTCCTCTTCTCTCTCCTCCTCTTCCTCCTCCTAACGGTGATTACAGGACAGAGTAATGCAATTGGTTGGGTTTTAAGAGAAGTCTCGTTTCATCAGCAGGAGAACAACACAAACAGTAAATATGACCATCATCATCATCATCGTCATCGTCATCATCAGTGTCATCATCATCATCATCATCATCAGTGTCGTCATCATCATCATCATCATCATCAGTGTCGTCATCATCATCATCATCATCACAGCGTCATCATCACAGCATCATCATCACCACCATCATCATTATCACCATAATCATCATCATCATCATCATCCTCCTCACCACCACCATTTCAATCACCAATACCACCATCCCAACCACTACCACAATTGCCTCTAACGGTCTAACTCTAACCACCATTATCATCCCAATCACCACAATCTACTAACCACAATCTACCACTACAACCCCCCCCCCCACCAAGAACCATTACCACCCCGGACACCAATACCATCCAAGAAGCACCAGCGGGAGAGGGGGAGAAGGAGGTAGAGTCGGGAGGAGAAGTACTAGTATACTTTATTCATAGGGAGGCAGCCAGCCACCTGGCCCACCACGAGTCTACCGTTGCATTATGTAAGGCGTCCAAGTGTGTGTGTGTGTGTGTGTGTGTGTGTGTGTGTGTTGTGTGTGTGTGTGTGTGTGGTGTGTGTGTTTAGTCCGGCAGAAAGTGGCGGGAAAGAGAGAGAGAGAGAGAAGAGGAGAATGGGGAAGGAAGAGGAGGGGAAGGAAGAAGTGCGGGGAGAGAGAGAGAGAGAGAGAGAGAGAGAGAGAGAGGCATCACAGGAGGCAAGGGGAGAGTATAAACGAGGCATTAGAGGTGAGAGGGGGGCGGGGAGAGGAGGGAGGGAGGAGGAGGAGGAGGAGGAGGAGGAGGAGGAGGAGGAGGAGGAGGAGGAGGAGGAGGAGGAGGAGGAGGGGGGTTGTGGGGGAAGAGAGAGGAAGGTGAGAGGAAGGAGGAAGATGAGGGGGAAGGAGGAGGAAGGAGAGGAGTGAGGGGAAGGAGGAGGAAGATGAGGGAAGAGGAGGAAGATGAGGGAAGGAGGAGGAAGGTGAGGGGAAGGAGGAAGGAGGGGGAAGGCGAGGGGGAAGGAGGAGAAAAGAGGAAGAAGGAGGAAGAAGAGGAGGGAGAATCAAGTACAACAACAGAAACAATAACAGATGATAAACAAAAAAATAAAAACAAACAAAGGAAAAACGAAATCAACAATAACAAAAAACCCCGCAAAAACAAACATCAAACAACAAAGAAAAAAACACAATAACAAATAAACAAAAGAAATAACAAAAAAACGAACAAAAACAATAACACCTTCCATCATCAGACTAAAATAAAAGTCAAAACAAATTACAATAAAAAAGGTAATTATTGTCATCATCACTAATTCCATAAATGTATAAACGCCACTAAGTCTAATTACGTGTATTATAAGTCTGGAGAAGTTATTATAAGTTTTTCTTAATTGTCAATGGTTGTTGTGGAGAGAGAAGAGAGAGATGTGCGTTAAAAGATCCCCAGTTGTTGATGAACCTAACTAACCAAACCTAACAAACCTAACCTAACCTAACCCTAACCAAACCTAACCGAACCAAATACCAAACCTAACCAAACCTAACCTAACCAAACCTAACCACATTAAAACAAGACTTAATGGTAGGAACTAATTTGCATATTCACAACATAAGTTATATCATCCACTTGTTTCTTAAGTGTCCTTTGTTTATAAGTAATCCATATATTTACTTATACTTAAAAACGACCGTGGATTGACTTAAACACATAAGTACGACCATTGACTCAGAAACACACTTAAGTACGACCCGTGGATTGACTTACAAACACATAAATGACCCGTGGATTGACTACAAACACATAAGTACGACCCGTGGATTGACTTACAAACACACTTAAATACGACCGTGGATTGACTAAAACATAAGTACGACCGTGAACCACTTAGGAACGTATCAAATGGGTTAAGACGTTGACTGATTAATAGGGATTAAGTCAGTGATTACGGGGTGTGTGTGTGTGTGTGTGTGTGTGTGTGTGTGTGTGTGTGTGTGTGTGTGTGTGTGTGTGTGTGTGTGTGTGTGTCCATCGTAATGTTCCTCCCTGCTGGACATCCCTCTCCCTTTTATCTCCCTTTCTCTCTGTTTTCCCTCCCTTCTCTCCTTTTCCTCTTTATCTCCATTTCCCCTTTCCATTCTTTCCCTTTCTTCTCTCTTTTACTTAAATTTCTTCATCCTTTTCACTCCTCAACTCGTCTCAACTCCCAACTCATTTCATCTCTCCTCAAATCCCCTCAACTCGTCTCAACTCCCAACTCATTCATCTCTCCTCAACTCCCCTCAACTCGTCTCAACTCCCAACTCATCTCATCTCTCCTCAACTCCCCTCAACTCACTTCATATTCCCTCACCTCATTAACACTTCAACTCTCCTCAATCTCCCATCAATTCTCCCCAGAACCCCATCTCAATTCCCTCTGGGCCTGTATTCCTCCCCACCCCTCCCCTCCTTGCCTCCCCCAGAATTGATCGTCAATCTCTCCAACCATAATGACGGAACGGCTGAATTGCATCCGATCATTTGCTTTTAATCAGGCGAGGTATCGATCCTGTGTAATCCCTTCGTGCTGGTCGACCTTAATGACACAAAACCCCAGCAGCCCCCCTGAGGATGGGAGGGCTTAGCACTGTCTTGCCCTTAGTCTTGTAATTATTCCTCCTGTGTTGGTCTTACGATTATTTGATTTTTATTGTCGGTGTGTGTGTGTGTGTGTGTGTGTGTGTGTGTGTGTGTGTGATAAACAGGGAAAGGGAATTTGTTTATAACTTTATCACTTAATTTCCCCCCAAAAAATAACAAGGAATAAAAATTATCAATCTGACGTCATCAATTAATAATCTTACATCGATTCTTGCTGCCTCAACTTACACCCAAGACTCTCTGACCAATCCTGGGAACATCTTGCGTTTTAATGTGCAAATCAACCAATGAAAACCGAGATATTTTCCTCCACTTACTTTGCGTAGGTCGGGTCGTGGTCTCAGCGTTGTTCGTTTCAGCACCTGCGGCAGTGACTTTGGCTGCGTCTTCCACCACGATGCAACCCTTAGTACCGCTGTCCAGGCTGGCCATGGCTGAAACGAACACAGGAGAGAAGAGGTGGGTCAGCTGGGGGGTGATGTGGATAATATGGGTTGGTTTTGTTTCTTTACATACAAATTAAATTATACTCTCTCTCTCTCTCTCTCTCTCTCCTCTCTCTCTCTCTCTCTCTCTCTCTCTCTCTCTCTCTCTCTCTCTCTCTCTCTCTCTCTCTCTCTCTCTCTCTCTCTCTCTCTCTCTCTCTCTCTCTCTCTCTCTCTCTCTCTCTCTCTCTCTCTCTCTCTCTCTCTCTCTCTCTCTCTCTCTCTCTCTCTCTCTCTCTCTCTCTCTCTCTCTCTCTCTCTCTCTCTCTCTCTCTCTCTCTCTCTCTCTCTCTCTCTCTCTCTCTCTCTCTCTCTCTCTCTCTCTCTCTCTCTCTCTCTCTCTCTCTCTCTCTCTCTCTCTCTCTCTCTCTCTCTCTCTCTCTCTCTCTCTCTTTTTTTTTTTTTTTTTTTTTTTTTTCTCTCTCTCTCTCTCTCTCTCTCTCTCTCTCTCTCTCTCTCTCTCTCTCTCTCTCTCTCTCTGAGGACCTGAAGCCCTATCAGTAAATCATAAAGAACATGACTCACCCGCTCACCCCTCCCTCCCCCCTCCCTCCCTTCATATAAGATGACTAACTAAGGCGTTTCACCGCAGGCATTCCTCGAGAGAACGTTCGTCTGACTCAGCCTCTAAAAACGTGTCATTTCTTGGTGGAGAGACGCTGCTAACTGCTCGTGCCGGCGCTGTTGGGACTGCAGTTAGGTGGGATGACACAGTCTTTCCTTTACTTATCGCTCGTGGAGAGAAAGTTTTATACCTATGAACTGTGGTAATTAAGGTAAAGTTACTCCAACACCTGTACACGCTAATTAACATCTATAAAACACATAGATTCCCCACAAACTCCTAAGTTAATTTTAACCATCAGTAAATCATTCACCTGTAGACGGTAATTAATCTGATGTGTAGGTAAGGGTAGGCCTATGAAAACCCCTCATTATCAAACCTTTAACATTTTCTGGTGTAAGTAAAGGTAGGCCTATATATCGTCCCCTCCCCCACACACACTCTCAAGACACCTAACACGGCCGGTGTGTGTAGGTAATGGTAGACCCAACCCTCCCCCCAACCTCTCTACTACCAAAACATGGCGTAATGGCGGCTCAGGTCGGTTTCAAAGCCTTACAAATAACACAATCCGCATCTCAAATCCGTACAAAAACAGGCGGGCCCCCGGGAGGGTTTACGAGGATTCGATAAAACAGATCAAGTCTGAGTAAGGAGAAGTCAACGTTCTCACTGTATGCCTCTTAACTACCTTGTTAGGTGTAAGCTGCTTGGCTGTGTTATTACAAGATACATGTCTGGTTGGATGGATGGATGGATGAAGTAGCTGGAAAGTGGATGGGTGGAAGGCTAGTTGACAGTCTTTCCACCACCACTTTCATACTCCCTCTCTCCCTCCCTACCCTCACCTTTACACTCCCTACCTCAGAAGCCCCTTACACATTTACCCACCCTGAGTCGTGACATTAGACTCCTCCTTCCTTCCTTCACCTCCCCTTCACCGCCTCCCTCAAAGCCCATAAAACGAGTCGTCGCCTTTGTGGTTCTCATCACGTATTCAGGAGGAGAGGTGAGAGGGGCGTTACAATTAAATTTTATTACTGGGTAACTCCGCCTGTTATGCACGCCATCCAGGGAAAGATGGGGGTGACCTGATCTGGGTGGGGCGAGTGGGGTGACCTGCTCGTGGGAGGTTAGATGAGTGACATGATTTGTGGGGGAGAGGTGGGGTGTTAGCTGGGGTGATCTCGAGGAGGGGGCTAGGGATCACCTCCTCACCCCCCTTTCCACATGGTTCAGTCACTCCTGATTCCTCCTGTTTTTTACAATACACTAATTTACGGATCATCAGTTTTTTTCTCCAGGGTATTTCTCTCGTCTTGTTTTTAATGTGTAAATTATTTTGCATGTCAGCCTTGAGGTCTTCTGTCTTCTTCTGACTGGAGGATTTTCTTTGTGGTCTTTATACTCCCCATCAAATACCTCCTGATACTCCTCTTCCTCCTCCTATCTCCTCATCTTTTCCTCCTTGATACTTCTTCCTCTTTCCTCCTCTCGATACTCGCCCTCTTCCTCCTCCTGATACTCCTCATCTTCCTCCTACTCTTGATACTCGCCCTCTTCCTCCTCCTGATACTCATCTTCCTCCTCTCTTGATACTCGCCCTCTTCCTCCTCCTGATACTCTCATCTTCCTCCTTCTCTTGATACTCGCCCTCTTCCTCCTCCTGATACTCATCTTCCTCCTTCTCTTGATACTCGCCCTCTTCTCCTCCTGATACTCCTCATCTTTCTCCTCCTCTTGATACTCGCCCTCTTCTTCCTCCTGATACTCCTCATCTTCCTCCTTCTCTTGATACTCGCCCTCTTCTTCCTCCTGATACTCCTCATCTTCCTCCTCCTACACACCAAGTTCCCCTTCACCTCCACCTAGTTCAAACCCTTAGCCCCTTCAGTCGTCTACCCCTTCACCTGGCCACGTCATGCACGCCACCTACCACCACTACCATCCCTATCACCAACATCACCACTACCACCAACACCACCACAACTACCAACATTCTCACCACCACTACCACAACCACCACCAGTACCACCAACTACCATCACCATCAATTAACAACACCACCCTTCTACAACCACCACCAGTACTACCACCACCACAACACTACCAACATCACCACTATCTCCCACATATATAACAATGGAAAGAATCATGCAGAGGGGGTCGATCCTGTGTCCTCACCTCTCCCTCAGCACAGCCATAACGCCTGACTGTCATGCACACTGGTACACGGCAGCAGCTGACGCCTTTGTTTATGTCAGCTGCTGGCGGTGGTTAGATCAGCTGATACTTTGGTTTACACCAGCTAATACTTTTGTTTACACCAGCTAATACCTTTGTTTACACCAGCTGATACCTTTGTTTACCAGCTGATACTTTTGTTTACACCAGTTAATGCCTATTATTTTGATCATCTGACGACTTTGTTTATATCACACAGACAGACAGACAGGATACAATAGAAGAACGTGATGCTGAGAGACCTTATGGCCATGATATAAGAGACCTCCAAAATATACAGAGGCTTGCGGTGGACAATCCTATTATCCTGTTTGGGTCTTCGTGGCCAGGTGAGGGCGTGGGGACTGGTTATATAGCGTGAGTTGGTTATATGGCGTGGGGATTGGTTATATGGCGTGGGGATTGGTTATATGGCGGGGATTGGTTTATGACGTGGGGATTGGTTATATGGCGTGGGAGTTGGTTATATGGCGTGGGGATTGGTTTACATGGCGTGGGGATTGGTTATATGGCGTGGGGATTGGTTTATGACGTGGGGATTGGTTATGGCGTGGGGATTGGTTATATGGCGTGGGGATTGGTTATATGGCGTGGGTTGGTTACATGGCGTGGGGATTGGTTATATGGCGTGGGGATTGGTTACATGACGTGGGGATTGGTTTACATGACGTGGGGATTGATTACATGGCGTGGGGATTGATTCATGACGTGGATTGGTTATTATGACGTGGGGATTGGTTATGGCGTGGGGATTGGTTACATGATGGGGATTGGTTTATGGCGTGGGGATTGGTTACATGACGTGGGGATTGGTTATATGGCGTGGGGATTGGTTACATGGCGTGGGGATTGGTTTATGACGTGGGATTGGTTACATGACGTGGGGATTGGTTACATGACGTGGGGATTGGTTACATGACGTGGGGATTGGTTATATGGCGCATGTACGAGAAGGAGTGGGTGGAAGGAGTGGGTGGAAGCGTGGAGTTGGTGGCGCGTGGGATGGGAGCGTGGGTGGGAGGCGTGGGGTGGTGAGAGGCGTGGGGTATGAGGCGTGGGGTGAGGGCGTGGGATTGGGAGACGTGGTTATGAGGCGTGGGGTGGAGGACGTGGGTGTGAGGCGTGGGGTGGGAGGCGTGGGGTGAGGCGTGGGGTGAGGCGTGGGGTGAGGCGTGGGTGAGCGTGGGGTGAGAGGCGTGGGGTGAGAGCGTGGGGTAGGAGGCGTGGGGTGGGAGACGTGGGGTGAGAGGCGTGGGTAGGAGGCGTGGGTTGGGAGGCGTGGGGCCAGGGGATGATGGGTACCCATCATCCTCCACTGACTGTAGTTGGTTGAATTTTATCTTTCGAGAGAATTTTATACCTGATAAATTCATGAGGGAGGAAGGGAGGAGGAAGGAGGGGAGGAGGGAGGAGGGAGGGAGGGAGGAGGGAGGAGGGAGGAGGGAGGGAGGAGGAGGGAGGAAGGGAGGAGGAGGAGGAGGGAGGTAAAGGAAAATGAAAAAGTGACGGTAGGGGTGGGGTGGGAGGAAGAAAGGAAGAGGGTGATGGAAGGGGAAGGAAGGAAGGAGGGAGGAGAGAGGGATGGGGGAGGGAAGGAGGTGAGAAAGGAGGGAAGGAAGAGGTGAGGAGGGGAGGGAGGGGGAGAAGAAGAAGGACGGAGGGAGGGGAAGGAAAAAGGGAAGGGGAAGGAAGGGTTTTTAATATAGTTCCTCGTCAATTTAATGGCGTCAATATTAATATCATTAAACTTTGCGTCATCACAGTATAAATAGAGCGTCTCTTTGTGTGGCTAGTAGGAGCTAGTACAGGAAGGGACAGTAGGGGTAGGGCTAGTAAGGTCAGGGGGCTAGTAAGGTCAGGGCTAGTAAGGTCAGGGCTAGTAAGGTCAGGGCTAGTAAGGTCAGAGCTAGCGAGTAGGTCAGCAGTCATGTTCATCCTCAATCATTGTGAAAACATCCTTACCGCAGTCAAACACACACACACACAGAGACAAACACAGCAAGCAAACAAGTTGGCAGACAAACAGGTAAAAACAGAGTAAGCAAGTACACACACACATTCACATACGCGACACACACACACACACACACACACACACACACACACACACACACACACACACACACACACAGCAGCAGCA